GTAAAAAGTGAAGTCACGTCCAACGAAATCATAACATGGCTGTCGTCGATGTTTCTGTCTTTAATAATCTCCACAAAGGACCAACTATCCTTGACATGAGATCGAGGTTTATTGACTGCATTTTGTAGTATCTCACTCAAAAAGGATGCTATGTTGTAAATAGGACTTCCTACAGTTGAAATTATGACGCGGAGAGGGTAACCTACCTTATGAATCTTTGGTAAACCATACGCACGAGGCAAATTACCATTCGTACACCTCAATTGTCTGTATGTGTTATCGTCTATTAATTTATTATCTAACCAAGATTTTAATTTGCAAATTAAAATCTTGGTTAGATAATAAATTAATAGACGATAACACATACAGACAATTGAGGTGTACGAATGGTAATTTGCCTCGTGCGTATGGTTTACCAAAGATTCATAAGGTAGGTTACCCTCTCCGCGTCATAATTTCAACTGTAGGAAGTCCTATTTACAACATAGCATCCTTTTTGAGTGAGATACTACAAAATGCAGTCAATAAACCTCGATCTCATGTCAAGGATAGTTGGTCCTTTGTGGAGATTATTAAAGACAGAAACATCGACGACAGCCATGTTATGATTTCGTTGGACGTGACTTCACTTTTTACTAACACCCCTTGGGAATTAATTAAAATAGCAATAGAAAACCGATGGGATGACATCTCACAATTTACTTCGTTTAGCCTTGCGCAGTTTTTACACGCCATTGACACGGTTATGCGCTCAACGAGCTTCGTTTTTGACGGAAAATTTTACGAACAGGTTTTCGGTTCTCCGATGGGGTCTCCATTGTCTCCGATTCTTTCTGACATTGTTATGGACGATTTGGAATCATACTGTTTGCGTCAATTGGATTTCGAACCCTATTGTTATTTTAGGTACGTCGATGATATTTTTTCAATTATTCCGAAAGGAAAAATTGAGGATATGCTTCGTGTGTTCAATGGTTTCCACACTCGACTTAAGTTTACGTTCGAACTAGAGAAAAATTGTTCTCTGAGTTTTTTGGATACGAACGTTATACGTATCGGTGGTAGATTGACGACTAATTGGTACCGAAAGCCTACGTTTTCAGGCCGCTATATTAATTTTCTGTCAAATCATCCTATGAGATATAAAATTAGCGTGATTACAAGCCTAGTTGATAGGGCTATTTTACTCGCTGACCCTATTTTTCATGAAGAAAATATTAATTTAATCAAAAGAATCCTTATTAATAATTGTTACCCGTTAACAATTATTAACAAAAACATCAATAAAAGACTTCGAGCGATTAAATTTGGCAGTAATCTTAACTCGCCCAATCGAAATAAATTTGATACGCGAAATTGCATTGTGTTACCTTACATTAAAGATCTTAGCGAGAATATTACGCGTTGCATCAATAAAAGTGGAATTGATGCTTTGTATACTGTCCCAAAAAAATTGGACACGTTGATAAAAAGAGGTAAAGATGGGATCGAAAACTTAAAAAGAACTGATGTTGTTTATAAAATTGATTGTGCGAATTGCGATTCGGCTTATATAGGACAGACAAAGAGACATTTAGAAACGCGCATTAAAGAACATAGAAATAACATAAAAAAAGACAAGACATTGCATTCTGTCATTAGTTTACATCGGACTTGCAACGATCATGAGTTCCGTTGGGATTCTCCGGTGATTCTGCATGAGGAAAAACAGACAAGAAAAAGAGAAATTGCAGAAATGTTTTACATAAAAAAACAAGGAAAAAGTATTAATTTACAGAAAGATACGGAGAATTTCAGTGGGATTTATGATCGTGTTCTTGACGTTATTTAAGTCGTTTTATATTTATTTTTACTTTTAATTTTATTTTTATTTTTATATCCACCTATTTATTTATTTTTATTTATTTGACTTTATTATGACGATTTAAATTACGAAAGACACATTTAGTTTCGTCTCTATCTTCTTAACGCTTAGTGACTAAGATTCTTGTGAACAGTTAACATCTATTTAATATGTGCTTACTTCTGTCAGTCTTACATTGTTCATCAAAACAAGCGTTAACATTGTCGGTAGTTTGCATAGAAGTTGATTTACTGTTTTAAATTTGGTATGTAACACATTTTTGTATTTAAATGTATAATTAATTGTTGCGAATAAGTGTATTAAATTATAATTATTTTGATTGAACTTTTTATAGATGTACTTGAAAAGGGCTGCAATGACAGCCGAAACGTTGTTGTTGTATTTCAAATAATTATTTATAATAAATTATTGCCAGTCTGGTCGACTTTAAACATTGAGGAGTGGTTTTTTATTAATTATTACTGGCAACCTTAAGGATTATTATTTATTTAATAATAATAATAATAATAACTATTTTTATATTGATGGTCCTGGAGGATCAGGTAAAACATTTGTATGTACAACTATTTATCATTTAGCTAGAATTAAAAATAAACGCGTGTGTACAATGGCTTTTACTGGTATTGCAGCGACTTTACTTCCTAATGGAAGGACAGTTCATAAGATATTTGGATTGCTCGTTCCATTATTTGTTGATTCATCATCTTCCATTAAAATCCAATCAAAAGCAGCTCAATATTTAAAAGAAACTGATATTTTTATTTGGGATGAAGCACCAATGGCACCACGATATGCTTTAGAAATTATGGATCGAACATTGCGTGATATTATGAATAATGACTTTCCTTTTGGCGGAAAAATTGTTTTATTAGATGGTGATTTCAGACAACTTTTGCCTGTTAAACAACATGCTACTCGAAGTAAAATTGTAAATCTTTCTATTAAATTTAGTTATACTTGGAAATATTTTAAAAAATTCTCTTTAATACAAAATATGCGAGTTCTTCCAGAGAAAATTGATTTTGCTAAATTTCTATTAGATATAGGAGATGGATTATTAAATGATTTAAATGATAATATAGAAATTCCTAAATGTTGTATAGTATCTACAAATGTTGATATTGTGGAAGATATATATGGTGATTTAATACGAAAACAAGAATTTGTTAAAATAACTAAATGTGCGATACTTTCTGCAAGAAATGTTGATGTAGACGAAATTAATAAAAGAGTTGTAGAACTATTAGGTGTAACTGGTGAACGAATTTATACAAGTATAGACTGTACTGTAAATGGTGACAATGGTGACATAGGTGAAGCTTTGTTACCAGAATATTTAAATAGTTTATCTCCACCATCTCTTCCTCCTCATGAATTACGTTTGAAACCAAATTGTATCATTATGTTGATTAGAAATCTTAGTATCAATGAAGGTCTTTGTAATGGCACTAGATTAATGGTTAGAGAGCTTGCAGACCATTTATTAAAATGTAAGATTTTAACAGGTGACAAAGCAGGAGATATTATTTTTTTAAATCGTATAACATTATATTGTGAAAATGTATATCCTTTTACTTTTTCTAGAAGACAATTTCCGATAAAATTAGCTTTTGCTATGACAATTAATAAATCACAAGGACAGACATTTGAAAAAATCGGATTAGATCTTTGTAAAGATGTATTTAATCATGGACAACTTTTCACGAGTTCGTTCTTGGAAGCATTAAAAGTTTACATTGGGAATCAACGAGATAATAGATACGTTAAAAATTATGTATATAAAGAAATATATGTCTAGCTTTATTGTTTTTTAATATATATATATATGATAAAAATAATTTATGTGTTAAAATGATTATAATAATTTAATTTGTAATTTAATTTGTAATTTTTAAACTGATTATAAAATAATTAAATATATTCTATAATATCAAAAATGTGTGAAAAAAAGGAAAGATAATTAATTATTTTTCTAATTTAAATTTTATTAAGAAAAAATTCTAAATTTTGAACATAATATAATTTTATATTTTTTCAATTAATTAAATAAAATATAATGTAAGTAATATTAATTAAATAAAATATTAATGGAACGTAAAGAATATTATATATTTATATTTAATTATATTATATATTACATTATATAATATTATATTATATTGTATAATATTTGTTCGTGATTCGAGGATTTTCACTCAAATGTCGTGAACGCGTGCGGCGGGTTCCGCTCCGCGAGAACGCGGGATGAATGTGCGATGAGAGAGACGGCGGTATAGCGTTGAGAAGGAGCGAGAGAGACAGAGTGATATAACGTTGAGAAGGAAAGAGAGAGACAGAATGATAGTGGACCGCGACCGCGAGACTGAAGATTGAAGACGGGAGCGAGCGAGAGGAACAGATTTATAAATGCACCATGGTTGAATCAAATTAACAACACTGTCATTTATTCACTTTGTCCGAATTAAATATAATGATGCGAATCGTATCACGGACGCGACACTTAGATAGAGTTCCGCGTTCCCGTTACTAACGATAAGTCCGGCCAAGTTGTTCGAATTCTCAAGGTGCGGACGCGATCTCGATCGTATGAATTTTCGTTGGCTTCTGACAAAGAGTCGGCGGGAACGCCGGTTCGCTCCTCAATTTGCCCATGCGAGAAGAAGCAAAACAGTTTGACCGGGAAACACTTCAAGGTGTTTTCTGCGTGCGAAAGTCGTGATAGAACAACGAATAAACAAGAGACGTTGAAAACAAGTCGAAGGGTACTTTCGCGAACGAGAATCTGTCGACGAGAGTCATGCCAAAATATTTAATTTTTAAGACGATAATCACAAAGGACGGCCGTTACTGCGAGGCTGACACAAATAACGCGAGTAATTTAAAAATATTGACACAATAAGCAAGATCGAACGACTTGGCGGAACGACAATTTGAACGACATAAATTTACAGAATAGATAGACTCGAATTTAATAAACGTGTTGACGGTCCTTAACATACCGCTCGCCTCGAAACTATCGTTTCGAAATGTATGCTATGAGTACAAAACTAAGAGAACATTTAGAAGAATTTAACGAGGCGATCGGAATATCGAGAGTACGTATGATTTCCTTTGAAATCGGGAGCGTGAAGTCGCTTTACGTCGGAGGCTCCAGCTTCTCGATATTGATTGGAAGCAGGCATAGTTTATTAATCGGTCGCTTATACTCGGACGCCGCAGTCTTTACCGTAACAACGCGAGTTAATCCGTCTTGACCCGTGTGACATCGTAGTACGCGAGCGAGCTCCCATTTGCAAGGGGGGAGTAGAGGGCTACGCAATAAGACGAGTTGACCGACGCGGATCTCGGTTTTGGCAGGTCGTTTCCACTTGACGCGCTGTTGTAACGTATTTACATAGTCGTCAAGCCATAACTTCCAGAATCTTTCTGAGATCTGGCGCACGAGTTGCCAGCGCGACAGTCTATTTTCGCGAAGATTCAAAACGGAAGGTTCGGGAACTGCGGTCAGGGCCGAGCCGATCAAAAAATGCCCGGGAGTTAACGGTTCATAATCGTCGACCGAGTCGTTGAGAGGAGCGAGCGGTCGGGAATTGAGACACGCCTCCACATTGCATAAGACTGTTGAGAATTCCTCAAATGTGAGAGTATGAGCCCCAATCACTCGACGGAGATGGTGCTTTACACTCCGTACTCCCGCCTCCCATAATCCGCCGAAATGAGGAGCGGAGGGTGGCATAAAGTGCCACGTGATTCGATCGGAAGCGGTTCGATTGAGAAAGTCCGGGTCCCTGATAGCTGCGCGAAACGCGGCGGTAAGCTCGCGTTCGGCGCCCACAAAATTCGTGCCATTATCTGAATACATGGCCGAGGGCAGGCCGCGTCGAGCACAAAATCGAGAAAACGCGCCGATAAACGCTGAGGTTGAGTAGCCCTCCACGAGCTCCAAATGAATGGCGCGAGTCGCCATGCAAATAAAAATCGCGATATACGCTTTTCGTGACGGGATTCCGCGACCAGACAAGGATCGTACGAGCACCGGACCAGCGTAATCCAGTCCGCAATTGAGAAAAGCGCGTGCGGGAGAAGTCACCCGCACGCGAGGCAGATCACCCATCTGTTGGAAGGGAATCGTGGCCCTTTCTCGAGTACAAATAACGCAGCGAAAAATAGTGAGTTTGGCGAGACTTCGGGCGCGCAGTACCCAATACTCGCGTCGTAGCGTAGCGAGCGTTAATTGTAGACCTGCGTGTAGAGATTTTAAATGCACGTGATACAGAACCAAAGCGACTAGCGGATGCGAGGCGAGAATAATCGGGTGTTTAACGGAAAAGGAAAGCGGCGCGTGCGAAAGCCGCCCGCCAACACGGATTAATCCATCCTCGCCGAGGAAAGGGTTGAGCGACAGAATCGAGCTTTTCGAGGATATGGCTCGTTGACTTGTGAGCGCAGCGAACTCGAGAGGGAAGAGCTCTTTCTGAATCCGTCTCAGAACAAACTCTTTCGCGAGTTGACATTCGCGGGCTGATAACGCTAGTGTGTTCTCCCTAACGTCGTCAACGGGAATCGACTGCTTCCGAGTTTTATTGATGAAGCGCATTATATACGCTGTTACGCGAATTAACCGAGGCCACGACGAAAATCTCATCGTAAAGTCGCAGTCAAGTTCCGTCGAAGCTAAATGAGACTGAATACTCTCCTTTTGTTCGATTTGAGTATCGAAATTGTGCGATCGAGAAGTCGACGGCTCGTCGATCGGGTAACGCAACCATGCGGGGCCGCACCACCAGAGTGGGTGAGTTCGAAGGAGAGACCCGGCGATTCCGCGAGATGCGCAATCTGCGGGATTTTCATCGGTGGGAACGTGGTTCCACACCGCGTTCGGAACGCGCGATTGTATCTCTGATACGCGATTCGCGACGAACGTCTTCCATTTGGCCGGTTGTTGCGTGACCCACGCTAAAACGACAGTTGAGTCTGTCCAGCAATAGCACGGGGAGGTGGCGAGACCAAGAGTGGTTCGCACGAATTCGAGTAGCCGAGCCAACAATCCGGCTGCGCATAATTCCAGCCGAGGAATACTGAGGGACTTGATCGGAGCGACCTTTGACTTGCCTATTAGCAAGTGAGAAGAGATTTCGCCAGAGAGAGAAGTGAGCCGAAGATACACGGCCGCTGCGTATGCGTGAGTGGACGCGTCAGAAAATCCGTGCAATTCGCAGCGGACAGTGTCAGACCCTCGCTGAATCCATCGATTCAGTTGGAGACCGTGGAGATCGGCAAGTGAGGCCTGAAGGGCTTCCCACTTTTGCCGGACGTCAGTCGGAAGGACATCGTCCCAGTTGAGTTTAAGCTGCCACAATTGTTGCATAAAGATCTTGGCAGCGATTGTTACTGGCGTGCACCACCCCATTGGATCAAACAATTTGGCAACGTACGAGAGTATTGACCGCTTGGTTTTTGAAACGGACGGAATATGAGTTACGGTAAATTGAAACATATCGGAAGATGGGCTCCAGCTTATGCCTAAGATTCTTAGATGTTCGTCGATTCGAAGAGTGCGATCGCACGCGAGGCCGTGGTTGTCGACCTCGATATCGTTCAGCAGAGCAGCGGAATTGCTCGACCATTTTCTCAATTCGAACCGTCCCCGACCGAGCAAAGCGCAGACCTGATCGCGAGTTTGTTTGAGAAGCGGAATATCATCGGCACCGAACAGAACATCATCGACGTAGATGTTCTCATGCAGGACCGGCGCGGCAAGAGGAAACGAGCTGCCTTCGTCCGTCACGAGCTGTTGTATAACCCGAAGAGCGAGAAAGGGCGCGCACGCTGTCCCGTAAGTAACCGTGGTCAGTTGATAGGACTGCCCGGTATCTGAGCAGCCGGCGCTCCATAAGATTCGCTGGAAGTCGATGTCACGAGAGTCAACACGGATTTGGCGGTACATCTTCGCGATGTCCGCCGCATATACATACCGGAATTGCCGCCATCGCAAGATCACTGCAGGTAACGCCGTCTGGAGTTTCGGACCTGCATGCAAATGATCGTTTAACGAAGTCGAGTTTGTCGTTCGACTTGACGCGAAAAACGACTCTCAATCGCGTAGTGAGACTGCTGTCTCGGATGACAGGATGATGCGGAATATATACGTGCTGAGCGGAAAGAACTGAATCCGGAATTTGACGCATATGACCGAGCGCTTCGTATTCGCGCAAGAAATCGACGTATTCGGATTTTAGAACAGCGTTCGACCGAAATCGTCGGTGAAGACTGGAGAGTGAACGCTCGGCGATAAAACGCGATTCACCAATGTCGATTGGTGGACCGCGCCTGAACGGCAGACGCACGACGTACCGACCGTCAGCATCGCGCGAATGTGTTTGTGCGAAGTGCTGTTCGCACTGTTGTTCTTCTGGGCTGAGAAGCGCGCGACGCGGCACTTCTTTGACTTCCCAGAAACATCTGAGTTCTCGATCGAGAGTATCCGCGCTCGCGCAATGCTGCACGGTAACCGATCGATGCGGCGCACCGGCATCCGACGTGGGGCCTGAGAGGACCCAGCCGAAGATCGTCCGCTGGGCGATCGGTTGTCCGCTCGTTCCTTTCCGAATACCGTCGAGCAATAATTCGGGATAAAGGTCCGCACCGATGATGAGGTCGATAGATTCGGCACTGACGGGAGTCGGATCCGCGAGCGCAAGATCCTGAAGATAGCTCCAATCGCACAGAGAGAATGCCTTAGATGGCGAGTATTTAGTTAAAACTTTGAGTATCGACGCGGTCGTCGTTAACACCGGTGAGTTAGAATTGATCGGAGCGATCTTGACTTGAGCGGCGAAACGACAAGTGCCCGCATCTACGCCGCCGACGGCGGAAATCGAAAGAGGCAATCGAACGCGTTGCAATTTTAAATTTTGAGCGAGACGCTCTGTGATAAAGGTGATTTCTGAGCCTTGATCAAGGAGCGCTCGCACGTTGAGTGTACGACCCGACGGCGAAAAAACAGCAACACGGGCGGTCGCGAGTAGTACATTTTTGCGCGCGGTTACCGTCGAAGTAGAAAATAGTGCCGTTACTGAGTCGTTTTCTTTTTTATCCGACGTCGCGTTTAACACGGTCGTTGAGTTTGGATTGCTAGAAGAAGAGGTCGAGTCAAAATGTAGCATCGAGTGATGTCTATTTTGACAGATTCGACATGAGTATTTGCTCGGGCACGCTTGCACGGCGTGCTTCGAGCTCAAACAATTAATACAGCGATGTGCTGATTTAATGAGTTCAGATCGCTGACTCGGCGTCTTCTTCAAGAATTGCGGGCATTTACTCAAAAAATGCGCAGCTTGACACAAAGGACACGCGAGTTTTGAAACGGTCGCTGACGCGCTTGACACCTTTTGCCCACGCATTTTTTCCGCTTTCGACGGTGACAATTCTTCAAGCGCGCGAACACGCATCTCGAGGAACCGATCGAGAGCTTCGAACAACGGAATTTGCGGGTCCTCACCGGTTTTCAATCGCCATGCCTTCCGAGTAGCATGATCCAATTTTTGCGACACGCAGTGAACGAGAATGTCACTGAGCATCTCCTCGGGCGACCGCTGAAGAGCTCTCAGCGAGGCGATAGCCCGATTCGCTTTGTCGCGAAGTTTGTTGAGTTCGCACGCGGACTCGCGCGTAGCCGTCGGAAGATCGAATAAGGCGGATACGTGCACTTCGACTAATCGGCGCTTATTATCAAAGCGTGAGGCGAGTGTTTTCCACGCGATCTCGAAATTCGTAGCAGTAATCGGAATAGATTTAATGGTATCTAACGCGCGACCAGTAAGGCTTGAGGCTAAAAAATGCATACGCGAAAAGGGAGTGAGATCTTGGTTTTGAATAATAAGCGAAGTAAATCGATCTCGAAAAGATTCCCATTCATCGAGGTTCCCGGAAAAGGGCGGGAGTTTAATCGGCGGTAAATGCGTGAGCGAGAAAGATGAACGATCTATTGTACTCATCGGATGCAGCGGAGACGATGACATCGATGGTGCAGGTTCCAGCTCCTCGAGGCAGTCGGCCATGTAGTCCAGCGTGCCTTCGTAAATCTCCTGGTGACGCTCGAACTCGGCGTCTCGGAAGTAGCTGATGTTAGCTCGTTGCTCTAGTGGGACGATCTGCACGAGGTTGGCGTGTTTGTTCACACAGGTCGTCCAGTTCTCCTTCAAGGTCCCGATCCGTTGCCGAATTTTTGCGGCAGTGTAATTGTTCTTGCCGATCTTCTTAAAATTAGTGAGACTTCGCTCGATAGTTTGCAGCAGAATGATCTGCTGCGCCAGAGGCTCGCTCATGGTAAAGCTCGCTTTGAACTCTCCTTGCTTCGAGGTAGGCGCCTGTCACCGCGCTGGAGTGGAGGAGGCCACAGAACAGATCCGCACAGAGTCACCCCGATCCGGCTCGAAGGACCAAAATTTATGTTCGTGATTCGAGGATTTTCACTCGAATGTCGTGAACGCGTGCGGCGGGTTCCGCTCCGCGAGAACGCGGGATGAATGTGCGATGAGAGAGACGGCGGTATAGCGTTGAGAAGGAGCGAGAGAGACAGAGTGATATAACGTTGAGAAGGAAAGAGAGAGACAGAATGATAGTGGACCGCGACCGCGAGACTGAAGATTGAAGACGGGAGCGAGCGAGAGGAACAGATTTATAAATGCACCATGGTTGAATCAAATTAACAACACTGTCATTTATTCACTTTGTCCGAATTAAATATAATGATGCGAATCGTATCACGGACGCGACACTTAGATAGAGTTCCGCGTTCCCGTTACTAACGATAAGTCCGGCCAAGTTGTTCGAATTCTCAAGGTGCGGACGCGATCTCGATCGTATGAATTTTCGTTGGCTTCTGACAAAGAGTCGGCGGGAACGCCGGTTCGCTCCTCAATTTGCCCATGCGAGAAGAAGCAAAACAGTTTGACCGGGAAACACTTCAAGGTGTTTTCTGCGTGCGAAAGTCGTGATAGAACAACGAATAAACAAGAGACGTTGAAAACAAGTCGAAGGGTACTTTCGCGAACGAGAATCTGTCGACGAGAGTCATGCCAAAATATTTAATTTTTAAGACGATAATCACAAAGGACGGCCGTTACTGCGAGGCTGACACAAATAACGCGAGTAATTTAAAAATATTGACACAATAAGCAAGATCGAACGACTTGGCGGAACGACAATTTGAACGACATAAATTTACAGAATAGATAGACTCGAATTTAATAAACGTGTTGACGGTCCTTAACAATATTATATTATATTATAATATTATATAATATAATAATTCTTATTTTTAATTAAATTTATTCATTTTTCATGTGATAATTAAGCTAACAAGTCGCATGATACATCCATCATCATCCGGGCACGGTAAATTGAGATTACTTCAAACAAGGAAGAATAAAGAATTTTGTACTTGAACGAGAACTCATTATTTTAAATTGTAAGTCTTTTTTTGCGGTATTCTGTAATAAAAATTATATTAATATAATATTATATTTAAATATTAAACTTAATTACATATTATTATGAAAAAATAAAATACACTTAAAAAATATACCAAAAGATTAAAAAATAAAAAAGAAATAAAAGAAATCAAATAATAAAAAATTTACTTGCTTTTTTATTATTGTTAATTAATTGATAAACTGATAAAAATAATTTCTTTAAATCTTAATTTATTTTAATATATTTTTGAATAAATAATTCTTAACTTTTTAAAATTTAATAATTAATATCTTTAATATAAAAAAATATTTATATTTAAATAATCAATTTACTTTATTTGAATCTTCTTCAACTTTTCTCTTAATTGGCAAATATACGCCTTTTAACAGTGCCTGTAATGGTATGTGCCCATCTAATTTTTTTATGTTTTTAATATCTTTTACGAGTAGATATATCGGATTATCTGTTAAAAAAAAATTTAAAAATTTAAGTTTACTAGGTAAGTGTTCAGTAATTTTGTAAAACCATAAAGTAAATAAATATATATATATATACATAAATTGTAACATATGAAATTTCGTATATTATATTGTTTTGTTGTTGTTTTTATAATTTATTTTGTTAAATTTTCTTTATTTTTTGTAAATTAATTCTTTATTTGGTTTTAATTATATAGAACATTTCTTGTATTTTCACCTGTCACTTGTATTTTTTCTTTATTATATTTAGTGATTTAAATTCGTCAAAATCGAAATTTATTATATGAACTTCCGATCAAATTTACCATCTGTAATGGAACCGTCGATGTTTTTTAAATGTTATTTTATATTTCTTAATTTGTTTTCAAATAAGCTTTCAATACTGCAAAATATGTAGAATATACAATATAATAATTGATTTATAAACTACAATATAATTCTTTTAATTAAAAATGAGTAAAGTTTGAAACATCTTTAATTATTAATGTAAACAAATATTATTAACAATATATAATATACATATTATATTTTTGTATATATAAACTATTTAATATATTATTCGTATATAATACTAATATAATTCAAATAATTATATAATTTCAAATATCAAATTTATCTATTAGAAGACCAAAATTAAGAAAAATATAATCGCCCTAAGTATATATATAATATATATATATGTTTATGACTATTGACGGGTAACAATATTTATACGAAGAATTCGTTGATAATATGATATATATTATATCGTGAAACATAGGTTCCGCGAGTAAAATGCCCTGTCCACGAGGCGTGATCACACATTTTATAACGCATCGGATGGTTCGAAAGAAATTTATATAACGGTGAAAACGTAGGCTTACGGAACAGTCGTCGATCAATTTGCCATTAACTCGTATAACGTGTGTCTAAAAACTTAAGGACAATTGTTCTCCATTCAAACGTAAACCTTAGTCGATGTAAAGCTATTAAAAATCGTAAGCATATCCTGTCTTTACATTTCGGAATATTGAAAAAATGACATCAACATATCTGAATAACAATAGGGCACAAAATCCAATTGATGTAAACAATATGATTCCAAATCGTCCATAACCATATCCACCAAAATTGGAGACGAACACATAGCAACCGAAAACTGGCGTAAAATTTACATTTGTCAAGTATTATGGGGTTCAAATCCATTGACAAAAAAGATTACAGCAAATGGATTGTTAACATTAGTAATTATCGCGTTCCGGATTCATTATGAATTTTTTGAGTTTGGGCGACAAGTTCGGCGTGCCCATTTTTAGAAATAATAAAATGATAGGAAAATCTCGGTTTTGGAAAACATAAAAAACATAGAAGCAAATTATAGAAAGTTTCCTAAGGATAACATCGACAATGTGAGATTTTCAGTAGCGATCTCAGTACACAAATTTTTAAGTAAACAAAAGCATGTGAGTCATTTGATAGTTACATTTTGAATAGATATGCTTATAGTTCAAAATTTTGAAATCAAATAGTAACATTTTCAAACAAAAGCAGATAAGGGCCAGTCACAGTATTGATGAATCGGACTGACTATGTGGGTAAAATGAATTGTTTACTGAAAGATGTTTCCACCTATAAATCACTTAATAAAAATCCATTAAACGCTCTCAACGCAAAGATCACGACCTTATTAAAATCTTGGTTGGAAAATGGACTCATAGATGATGGTTTACAAACAATTGAAATGTACTAATGGCAATTTGCCTCGTGCTTATGGTTTACCTAAGATCCATAAAGTAGGTTACCCTCTTCGTATCATAATTTCAACGTTAGGAAGTCCGGTTTATTACATTGCATCTTATTTAAGTGAGATTTTGCAAAATGCAGTCAATAAACCTCGATCTCACATTAAGGATAGTTGGTCCTTTGTTGAAATTATTAAGGATAAAAACATTGATGACGATCATGTCATGATTTCGTTGGATGTGACTTCGCTTTTTACTAACACACCGTGGGAATTAATAAAGCAGCAATAGAAAATCGTTGGGATGATATCTCACAATTTACTTCATTTAACATGGCACAGTTTTTACATGCTATTGACACGGTTATGCGCTCGACTAGTTTTGTTTTTGATGGAAAATTTTACGAGCAGGTTTTCGGTTCGCCTATGGGGTCTCCTTTGTCTCCAATTTTGTCTGATATGGTTATGGACGATTTGGAATCATATTGTTTGCGTCAATTGGATTTTGAGCCCTATTGTTATTTCAGATATGTTGATGACATTTTTTCAATTATTCCGAAATGTAAAGTGGAGGATATGCTTACGATTTTTAATAGCTTTCACACTCGACTAAGGTTTACGTTTGAATTGGAGAACAATTGTTCCTTAAGTTTTTTAAACACAAACGTTATACGAGTTAATGGCAAATTGACGACTGACTGGTTCCGTAAGCCTACGTTTTCAGGCCGTTATATAAATTTTCTTTCGAACCATCCGATGCGTTATAAAATTAGTGTGATCACAAGCCTCGTGGACAGGGCTATTTTACTCGCGGACCCTATGTTTCACGAGAAAAACATCATCTTAGTCAAACGAATTCTTCGTAACAATTGTTACCCGTCAACAGTCATAAACAAAATTATTAACAGGAGACTTAGGGCGATTAAATTTGGCGGTAATTTTGGTGCGTCTAATCGAGATAAATTTGATACACGAAATGCTATAGCGTTGCCGTATATTAGAGGTTTGAGCGAAAATATTACTCGTTGCATAAACAAAAATGGAATCGGTGTATTATATACCGTTCCTAAAAAATTAGACACATTGATAAAAAGAGGAAAAGATAGTATTGACAACTTAAAAAGAACCGATGTCGTTTATAAGATCGAATGCGCGAACTGTGACTCTACATATATTGGACAAACAAAGCGACATTTAGAAACACGTATTAAGGAACATAAAAATAACATCAAAAAAGACACGACATCACACTCAGTTGTTAGTTTGCATCGGACTTGCAACGATCATGAGTTCCGTTGGGATTCTCCTGTGATTCTGCATCAAGAAAAACAAACAAGAAAAGAGAAATAGCAGAAATGTTCTATATAAAAAACCAAAGAAAGAGCATTAATTTACAAAAAGATACGGAGAATTTCAGTGGGATTTATGATCGCGTTCTTGAAGCTATTTAATATATTATATTGTCATATGTTACATATTTATTTATTTATTTATTTATTTATTTGACTTTGTATTGACGTTTTAAAAAATTGCGAAAGACACAGTACTCTGGTTTTCTATTTTCTCAACGCGTTAGTGACTAAGTTTTCTGCTAACAGTCAACATCTATTTTTTCGTGCTCACTTCTGTCAGTTATACATTGTTCAACAAAACAATGGTTAATTTTGTCGGGGGTTTGCTGTAAATTTGATTTATTGTATTAATCTGGTACGTAAACATATATATTTTTGTAAATTTATAATTATTTGTATGATTAAGCGCATTAAGAGTATATTTATATGTATATAATTGTTCATAGATTACTTGAAAAGGGCTGCAATGACAGCCGAAACGTTGTAATTTAACTAATTTTTTAAATAAATTATTGCCAGTCTGGTCGACTTTAAAATTGGAGGAGAGATTTTCATATTTATTACTGGCGACTGTTAAGGATTATCATTTATTTTAGTTTTGAAGTTTATTATTGAATATATTAATTTATTAATATTGAATTTATTAATTTTTTCATAGGTAATAAAATTGTTTCTGAATTATCTGACGAGCATTTTGCTCAATTAGAAAATATTGCTAATAAGGAAAATGCCAGTATTAATATCAACCAAAGTATCTCCAATAAAAAAGTAAAAACATCCAAAAAAACCAAGGCTCCTCTTAATGTTGTTCAATTAAAACTTGACCAAGAAGAGCAACTGATTTTTGAAGTTATGAACAGGATACTTCTGTGGGATTTTACAATCCCATTAAAAGGAGCAAAATCATAAAAACCAAACTATGGTTAGAAGTATCTGACTCACTTAAAGGTATTTACTTAATTTTTATATAATAATTTCTTTTTATGAAAAGTCCTATGAATAGTTGAATAATTCTAATACGAATATTATTTTCAACAGGTGCTTTTACCCCAGATGGTGCTAAAAAAAAGTTTAAGGCATTAACTGACACATTTAGAAAAATTATTCGGGATGAGCAATGTCCAAGTGGTTCCGCTCGCAAAAATAATGGCAATAAATGGGCTCATTACGATTCCATGCAATTTTTGAGAGATCATTTCACTCCAAGAGAGTATGTATACATATATGTTGTACACCCATGGAATTTAATTCTGTCCCTCAAAAATTTTCAACAATCTGAAATGAGCACCTTTCTATATTAATGGTCACAGTTCGTGTACAATAAACAGCTTACGTTTGGCTGTAAGCTGTCTATCGTACATGGACGGTGAGCATTAATGTAGAAAGGTGGTCACTTGTCAGATTGTGAAAATTTCTGAAGGACAGAATTAAATTCCATGGGTGTACTACTTAATACTGTTATTATTGATTATATTTTATTCTCTATTAATCTTACATATTTATTTTATTTTCAGATCTGCAACAAATTGCGAATCTGAGGAAAATGATTCTGATGACATTAATTTATCTAGTTATGAAGTTGATAATGACAGTGTAAAAAAACAGCAGAAGGATTACACGTAAAAGGAAAAATATTGGTGATAAGGACGATCTAAGTTCATCTATTGATAAAGTAGCAGAAGCTATAAGTAATTCAGGTTCAAGCAGAGACATAGTTTTGCCACCACCCCCTGAGCTTACAGAAATAGATTACTGTTTAAATATAATAGGCAGTCAATTGAAGAAAATTCCAGAAGAAATGCAATCAGATGCAATCCACAAAATGTTGCTGTTATCTTACGATGTTGTTCAAGAATATAACAATTAATAATGCCATTATTTCTTAACAATAATTAATAAAATTAAGTATTTGTTTTTTTAATTATATTTTATTCATATAAATTTTTAACAAATGTGTTTATAATGCGTTAATAAAGTTTCTCACAAATCAATTGAAAAATGTTTTATTTATATGATTTCCAAAGTAAGTATATAGTCATACATTTACAATAATTTTACAAAAGTTAATATTCAATATGTATATATACTCTAACTTTTTAATGATGACAAAATGGATGACGGAATATGTAAATATAATTGAAAAAGAAAAACAAAAAAGGAATATAATCCATGTAGCAACTTTATCAGTAATAATAGCAATGAAAAGAAAGAAAAAGAGATCATATACTCCAAAACGTTACTGGATTGAACCTGTATTTAGATAAAGAAATTTACATGGATTTTACGATAAGATATTTCCTGTGTTACAACTTGAAGATTTATGATTGATAAATTATTTTAGAATGTCATCATTAGTTAAGTAATTTAACAGAATTTTAATTATCACAGTCATACTGCCAGGAAATAGCGCCTTCACCATTAAAATAGGCACAAAATTCATCTCTTATGGAAATAGCATTACGAGTACTTGAATTTGTTCCTGTTCTTGTTATCTCTTGGAATGCCCAGCCATCTTCCCTTAGACTGTTCCATGTCCCAGGGATCAATATACCATCTGAATACCGATCAACTAGTTCAGGAGATACATATTGATTATTATGTACATCCTTTTTTCTTAACCAATTATGTAAGCAAACAGTAGCTTGTATAATTTTTTCTGCAGTTTTCACTTTGCAAATGATTGGTCTTCTAAATATTCTCCATTGGCTCGCTAATATGCCAAAAGTATTTTCTATGATACGTTTGGCACGACTGAGACGATAACCAATATTTTTACCTTATCACCAATATTTTTCCTTTTACGTGTAATCCTTCTGCTGTTTTTTTTACACTGTCATTATCAACTTCATAACTAGATAAATTAATGTCATCAGAATCATTTTCCTCAGATTCGCAATTTGTTGCAGATCTGAAAATAAAATAAATATGTAAGATTAATAGAGAATAAAATATAATCAATAATAACAGTATTAAGTAGTACACCCATGGAATTTAATTCTGTCCTTCAGAAATTTTCACAATCTGACAAGTGACCACCTTTCTACATTAATGCTCACCGTCCATGTACGATAGACAGCTTACAGCCAAACGTAAGCTGTTTATTGTACACGAACTGTGACCATTAATATAGAAAGGTGCTCATTTCAGATTGTTGAAAATTTTTGAGGGACAGAATTAAATTCCATGGGTGTACAACATATATGTATACATACTCTCTTGGAGTGAAATGATCTCTCAAAAATTGCATGGAATCGTAATGAGCCCATTTATTGCCATTATTTTTGCGAGCGGAACCACTTGGACATTGCTCATCCCGAATGATTTTTCTAAATGTGTCAGTTAATGCCTTAAACTTTTTTTTAGCACCATCTGGGGTAAAAGCACCTGTTGAAAATAATATTCGTATTAGAATTATTCAACTATTCATAGGACTTTTCATAAAAAGAAATTATTATATAAAAATTAAGTAAATACCTTTAAGTGAGTCAGATACTTCTAACCATAGTTTGGTTTTTATGATTTTGCTCCTTTTAATGGGATTGTAAAATCCCACAGAAGTATCCTGTTCATAACTTCAAAAATCAGTTGCTCTTCTTGGTCAAGTTTTAATTGAACAACATTAAGAGGAGCCTTGGTTTTTTTGGATGTTTTTACTTTTTTATTGGAGATACTTTGGTTGATATTAATACTGGCATTTTCCTTATTAGCAATATTTTCTAATTGAGCAAAATGCTCGTCAGATAATTCAGAAACAATTTTATTACCTATGAAAAATTAATAAATTCAATATTAATAAATTAATATATTCAATAATAAACTTCAAAACTAAATATTTATATTAATTTATTCACTTTACCATCGTATGCCCAAAATTCATATGTATCTGGATCAACAAAAAATTCGTCAAATTCTCGAATACATAAATGTTGGGCAGCTTTTTTATTTAAACAGGTTTGTTTACAATAGCTACATTTCACGAGAAAATTCTAAAATTATTAATATTTCTTAATTCAATTATGTATAACCTCAAAACATTTCACATGTGTATTCTGCTATCATATTATACAGATATATATTCAAAGTATTACTTCATATTTATTAAATTATTTCCTTTTCTTCGCTTTGCATGATGAAATTTTATGATAAACAAACAATTTTTTGATTAATAAATTAAGCATGACCTGTCAACCACCGTCAACGCTGGAAAGTTGGGTAGAAACGAACTTTTTAGCGTCAACCATAGATAAAATTACATAGAGTGAACACGAACAAAACGAGCGTCAAGCGTTTCAGCGTCAGCATGAAAAGGTACCTTAACTCATGCGAAATCTAGAACGCTCATTCGTTAGATTAAAGTCATTCTCATTTAAAAAGTAGTGCTCAGACGTAATTTTGTCAGAGGAAAAAGTTGTTTCTTTTGGCACGAACAATTACGCTGTACATTCCGAATTCGCGAATTTGGGCACCCTGTATATTATTTATTTAAATATACATATTATTTATTTAATGCATGAACCAATAAAAACTAAAAAATAAATTATTAAAAAAATTTATTGAAAATTGATACGTACGTAAAATTTTCTCTCTTGAAATACACACATAAATATTTTGTTATAGTATTATATATTTTATTAAATCTTTTTAACTGAAGTAATAAAATATCATTACAATGATATTTAGTTTGTATTTACATATAATATATGTGATATGTATAATATCAGATTAATTATAAAATAAAGAGAGAGAACATTTTATGAGTATAAGAATAAATTCATGTGAATGTGTGTGTGCGTGTATGCTAACGCATGTGTGGACGTGTGTGTGAATATGAATTCATGTATATGAACATGTATGTGAATATGCAATGTGTATGTGTGTACGCAAACGTGTGAGTATTTGTATGAGTGTACAAGCATGTTGTTTTATAAATGTGCGCGCGTGGGTGCATGTGTACAAGAGTGTGTTCATATGTGTGGAATGTGTGGATATGTATGTGGGTATGAATTTGGATATGTATGTGTTTATATGTACATGAAGATGCAGATGTACGTACATGCGTGTATGTGAAATGATGGGCATATGGGCAGGTGTATGGTTTTGTGAGAGAGAAAATTTTATTTCTTAGTTTGTATTGGTTTATATATATAATTTAAAAAAATTAATATATTTTGATTTATGTAATATTGTATACCTGTATTGCTCATCATTCCAATAATTTCTATTTTGTCACTTTTTCGGATATCCATTTCGTAATAATCATCTACAAAATTAACAATGTGTACTTCTAATTTATAAACACCGTCCGTTAATGATCCGCATCCAATGATTTTATTCAATTTGTTATTATGTATACTGCTTAAATTAGTTTTGATATATATTCTTCTAATACTGTAAAAATATATATATAAAGAAAATGTATTTCTTTAATTTCGGTCTTACCGCGCTTTAGGAGCGTCGGTAAGACGGATTATCGGGACCCAACTGAGCATATAAAGAGAGATTAGGGAATTCTTTCTCAAAAGGCTTTGTCACGACAGATTGAAATTGCAGATTGATATTAGAAGTGATTGATAGATAATAGAGAGTGATAAAGAGGGAAGTGACCATTGAAGTAGAAACCTTAATTGTCGTTTCTCTATTTACAGGTAAGGGGAAGAACGAATCATAGTATAATTAAGTTGTAAATATAATATAAGCTATAGAATAAACTCTATTTACAGAGCAACACGTGGTTGACTTGATGGTTATTCTCCCTAAAGATACAAAACCATTATAAAACGACAATTTTACTTTACAATAAGGGTTAAAACTCATTATCATGGATAAGCTCCGATTCGAATTCACGGCAAAACCAGCCGCAGACGGAAAATCAAATGTCTTGTGCATAACCTCGATAACGACTACTGAAGGCAGAACGTTTGAAATACCAAACGAATTACAACAAACCTCATTACACACAGAGTTATGCAAAACAAAGACATTTGCAAAAGTGAAAAATACAATAAGGAAAAGACATCAAAAAAGAAACGTATGGATTGAAATGTCAGAAGGCCTACGTGATACATATATAGACGAATCGGGGAACATGCAATTTTCTGATTACTTTTTAGAAGAAATTACAGACACGAAAACAGATACGACAGAAACGACTGCGGATGAAACTCTGAAACAAATATTAAGGAAACTGGTCGAAAAAGATTCTAACAAACATCAAAATCTGAAGAAAATTTCGGAAAAATTTACCATTGAAAAATATACAACTAAGAATGCTAATGCGAATCAGTGGATTGATACCTTTGAAGAAGAATGTGAACGATTTGGCATCACAGAGGACAAAGAAAAAATTGAAACACTCAGACATTTATTAGACAAGAACAGCCTGGATTGGTATAGTTCCATGATGTTAAAAATTACAATTAACGCTGACTGGAATACATGGAAAAGCAGATTTTGTGAAACTTATGTAAACAAGGGATGGAACCCAATTACCTATGCACTATCATTTAAATACATTGAAGGTTCCTTGTTAGATTATGCCGTAAAAAAGGAAAGACTCTTGTTAGAGATAAGAAAATCAATAGATATGGGAACCCTAATCGATCTAATCGCAGCGGGCCTACCAAATTACATATTACACAAAATTGAAAGAGAAAGTTTAAAGGAAACCGAAGACTTGTTCAACGAATTAAATAAACATGAATATTTGATAAAAAGAAATAACCTCAAAAAGGAGAAAGATACAAGTTTCAGATACAAAGAAAAAACAAATTTGAAACAACCATGCAAAATTTGTAAGCAATTAAATAAAGGAGATCGGTATCATTTGGAAGAAACATGTTGGTTCAAATCAAAAGAGAAGAACAACGAAAGAAAACATCCAAACACACAGGTAAACAATTCCGTAATAGAGGCAGAGCTGATTAGCGAATCGCAACAAAAAAACGAATAAGCACACCATTAATTAAAGTCGAATTAGTACTCAATGACACATTGAAAATAAAGGGGATATACGACTCTGGTTCAAATGTCTCTTTAATTAATTCAAAAATAACGAAATTAAAGAATGAGAAAAAAAACCATAGCAATACTGAATTACAAACAATTAATGGTGTGAAAAAAACAAAAGGAATAATACCTATAAAAATCAAAATTTTCGAAATTGAAAAAGAAATGTATGTACACGTGATAGACGAAGAAAACTTTAGTTATGACTTTCTAATAGGACTAGACATAATAGAACAGTTCAAACTAGTACAAAATGAAGACTTGAAAATCACACAAGCTATATCAAATTTACAAAAAGGAAAAAGAACTTTAGAAAAAGAAGAAGACAATATTGATGCAAACTTACTAAATTTTAACGAGCATATAAATGAAATAGATTGTGAAATAAAAATAGATGATCATCTAAGCTCTCAGCAAAGAGACGAATTAGAAATATTAATACATAACTACAGATCAATATTCGCAAAGGACAAATACGACGTAGGTTCGGTGAAAGGTTACGAAGCCCACATCGACCAATTGGTCGACAAATACTGCAGCAAAAGACCATACAAATGTAGCATTGAAGACAAGAAAGAAATAGAGGAGCAAATTTCAAAACTTTTACAGGAACAGCTGATAGAGGATTCATACAGTCCATTTGCGGCCCCTGTGACCCTCGCATTCAAGAGAGAGGAAAACAAAAAATCAAGGTTATGCATAGACTTCAGAGACTTAAACAAAATTGTAGTACCACAAGCCCAACCGTTTCCTCTGATCGATGACCTAATAATACAAACGAGAAACTGCACCAAGTTTTCAACATTAGATATAAATTCCGCATTTTGGTCCATTCCACTAAGAATTGAAGACAGGAAGAAAACCGGATTTATAACACAAAATGGACACTACCAATGGACGTGCCTCCCTTTCGGCCTAAAAACCTCGCCGGCAATATTCCAAAGGATAATAAGTAATATTTTAAGAAAGCACAACCTAACAAAATTCGCGGTAAGTTTTATAGACGATATACTCATATTCTCTAAAAATTTTGCTGAACACATTAAACATTTAACACTAGTATTGGAAGCATTATCAAAAGAAGGCTTTAGACTAAAATTCATAAAATGTAAATTCGCCTCAGAATCAGTAAAATATCTAGGACACATAATTACAAACAACACAGTCAGCCCATTAAATGATAATTTGATATCAATCAAGAACTTTCCTACTCCAAAAACAAAACAAAATATTAGACAGTTTTTAGGAAAAATAAACTTCTACCATAAGTACATTCCGAATAGAACAATAATACTAGACCCGCTGTACAAGTTACTAAGAAAAAACCAAGAATTTAAGTGGTCAGAAGAATGCAAAAAATCATTTGATAAAGTCAAAAACCTATTATACTCTAAACCAATATTAGAAATATTTGATCACAAACGTCCAATAAAAATCTACACAGACGCATCATTACAAGGAATTGGAGCAGTTTTAAAACAAACTAAAGATAAGGGTGAAGAGAAGCCAGTGGCTTATTTTTCGAAAAAATTAAACGAACTCCAAAAACGAAAAAAAGCAATATATC